GTGGGCACACCGGCCCGCACGGCAACTTTGCAAACGACAGGAGGCGCCCTTCCCGTCTGGACCTGCCCAGGTGAGACCTGCCCAAGGTCCGCCGCGGGCTCGCACGGCACCTGCTACCTGTCTGGACCAGACGGAGGAAGGAGCAGCCCCGGTGATGGGGCCTCACAGGCCCAGCCGCTCGGGGGAGCCCACACCCCTGACCTTTGGACAGACCCTCAGGCAGGACCGACTTCTCTCCAGGGAGCAAGAGGCTGCAAAGACCCCGGGGGCTGGCCCAGAGTTCCTCGTACGTCTCACACGGGCATCTCTTCGAGCGTCCTGGGCCAGTTCCTGAGCCACTCCGAGCCTGTTTCCCTCAGCTGAGGAGCCCTAACATTACTCAACAGTGAAAAGGAGCGAAGCACCGACACCTGCCACAACGTGGATGAACCTGGTAAACGTCGCACTAGCCCTGGCTGGTGTGGCTCAGTGGATAGAGCGTCGGCCTGCGGAGTGAAGGGTCCTGGGTTCAATTCCAGTCAAGGGCACAGGCCCGGGTTTCCGGCTCGGTCCCCAGTAGGGGGCGTGCAGGAGGCAGCGATCCACGATTCTCTCTCATCATGGATGTTTCTATCTCTCTCCCTCTCCCTTCCTCTCTGAAATCAATAAAAATACATTTAAAAAATAATAAAATAATATTGAAACAAAAACAAAACATCCACTAAGTGAAAGCGGCCAGACACGGAGGCCCACATAGTGTAGGATCCACTCATGGGAAATGTTCCGAGTAGATAAATCCACAGGCAGAGGCTGGAGGCGGGTAAGGAACGACTATTAAGGAATACGGGTGTGTTTTTTAGAGAGAGAGGAAGGGAGAGGAGAAAGAGCCACCTCCTGCGCGCCCCCCATCAGGGATGGAGCCCGCAACCTGGGCACGCGCCCTGACTGGGAATCGAACCAGCAACCTTGTGGTGCACGGCTAACGCCCAACCCACTGAGCCACCCCGGCCAGGGCCATATGGGTTTTCTTTTCTGAGCAATGAGAATGTTCCAAAACGGACTGCAGTGATGGTTGCACGGCTCTGCGAAATGACTAAAACCATGGAGTCGTATGCTATACGGGGTAAGTTGCATCATATGCAAATTATATTCAATAAAGCTGTTACCGAAAAACCTGGCATTTTGTAAAACTGCAAACTCGGCAGCATTATCGCCGCTGCCCGCACAGAACGCTGGTGAAGGCGTGGACACCGGAGCCTGCTGACCTGGATCGAACTGTCTCCGCCAGGTCCTAGCTGACGTTGGACAAATATGCAACCTTTGGGAGCCGGGGACATGAGGCAAGGAGTGTAACCTGTCCCCCCAAGGGCCCTCGTGAGGGCGAATGGTTCATGGACGCAGACCGCCTGGAAGTGCCAGCAGCAGGAAGGGCTGCGGGGGCTCCTCCCACGGCGGGTTCCTCCCACGGCCCGTCACCAGCTGGCCCGGGGGCCGGATGGCAGCATCGCCTCCGTTTGTCTCCGGAATAAGCTCCTAAATCCAATCCCCTTCTTTAGGAAGCTCGCGGCACGGGGAAAGGGGGGCAGTAACTAAGTACTCGCACAGCTGGCTCAAGGTCACAGGAGAGGTGAAGGGCAGGGCCTGGGTTCGATGCCCGGTCAGGGCACAGGCCCTGGTTGCGGACCCGATCCCCAGTGGGGGCCGTGCAGGAGGCAGCCGATCCATGATTCTCTCTCATCACTGATGTTTCTATCCCTCTCTGCCTCTCCCTTCCTCTCTGAAATAAAAATATTTTTTAATAAGGTATGTTATTAAAATTAACCTCATCTGTGTCTCTTCATGAATGTGACAAGCCACACTGCATTTCCATGGGGCAGCACTGTGCTGGCAAGGTGGGTCCCTGAGGGCCGAGACCTCATCTACTGCGGTCACTGCTCTCTCCCAGAACAGTGTCAGGCGCACAGTAGGTACTCAATAAATGTCTCTACCTAATGAATAAACAATATATGCTACTTACATTACATGCCACTGGGCCCACACAGCCACTGCTTGCCAACACCTGTGTTTCCTGCCTTCCCCATGCCCACCCCCCACCAGGTGAGGACCCCGCTCTCCCTCTCTCTCACAGGCCCCCTGGGAGGCAAGGAGCACGCTGTGACTTGTCAATGGGCTTGCAGACTCAGTAACCAGGGCGAAGGAAGGAGGGAGGGAGGGAAGGATAAGATCGAGGGCATTTTCCACATTGTGGAAATAACACCTTGAAGAGCCTCTGAGATTGCAGGGGCGGGGCGGGGTGGGGGTGGGACCGGAGGACTCTCTCAGTTCCCCAGGAAAACAATTGAAAGGGGTTGGGATGGGGACAAGGCTGTTGTCCTGGGATCCATGAGCCTCCTCCTCAGTGTTTACAAACAGGCCCCGCCCCTGAGCGCACTGTGCTGGCTTCCTGGCCGACAGCCTTCCAGAGGCGACAGGGCAGCTGGCGGGGCATTCCACCCTCCAGGCCTGTGGTGGCCCCCGCCGTCTACCAGGGGGGCGTCCCCGCTGCAGAAGGACCAAAGCTGGGGGTGCGGACATGGTGCTAGGACTCTGTGTGACCTGGGCTAAGCCCCTTGGTCCCTGTTAAGAAGCATGAGGGGCCGGGCCAGTGTGGCTCAGTGGTTGAGCACCGACCTATGAACCAGGAGTTCAGGGTTCAATTCCCAGTCAGGGCACATCCCCAGTAGAGGGTGTGCAGGAGGCATCCGGTCAATGATTCACTCTCATCATTGATGTTTCTCTCTTTCTTCCTCTCCCTTCTCTGAAGTCAATAAATTTTTAAAAATTTAAAAAAAAAAGAGCCAGGAGAGGGTTTCAAACAGTGGTTCTCAACCTTCTGGCCCTTTCAATACAGTTCCTCACGTTGTGACCCAACCATAAAATTATTTTCGTTGCTACTTCATCACTGTCATGTTGCTACTGTTATGAATCGT